CAAAAACGGTAAGGTTTAAGTGTAATAAACCTTTATCAAATTTTCCTTTATTTTAATCGTAGAAACTAAAAATGTAATAATATACAGGGTGTTCCATTTAAAAAAATGCAACTTTGATATTTCTTATTTATTTGGGAAACTCTGTATCTTGTAAAAATATTTTTAAATTGTAGCTCTAATAGTCCTTCAACGAACCCATAACTTACAATTTGTAAAAATCTAATCGTTTAGTGTTAGTTTAGTTAATGCTCCGTGTCGTATGTGGTGAACAACCCTGTATATTTTTATGTCACATGTTGAAATAACTTTATCAATTAAGTTAAAAAAAATTGTGCGAAGCTACCATCTACCCTAATGGAAACTACCCTTTCAGAACTTTTTCGGATTTTTACAATTTTACACTATCGCCATTCGCTTTGGCATTAAAATGCGTGTAAAAATTCTCAAGCAGAAGCAGTCATAAATAGGTTATTTAAAACACAATTCAACGAATTTAAAAAAAACTGCGTCTAATTTTAAATTGAACTTGAACAGGTGACAAAGCAAAACCAGGCAAATGCTAACATACCTTAAGTTATCGTATAAATAGTATAAAAATTTACCTTTATACTTATTGTGATTTTGTGAATGTCAAATTGTAGATATTTTCTATAGGTTAGACTTTTGCCTAATTCGGACAAGTTCAAGACAAGTTTTAAATAATTATAAATAGCATTTCTGGGACACTGACTGTGTAGGTATTATACGTATATTACAGTAGGGGGTTGGAACATTTGGTTTTACAACAGCAAAATAAAACACTGAATTACCAAAAAGCACCAAAACACTTTTACTTTTACCATATTAGCCTCATCAGCAGATGATTAAAACTAGATAACAGTCTGATAACTGCCTTAGTGATCTGCTGATGATCCTAAGATGGTTAGCGAAACAGGCGTCCAATGTAAAAGTAAACATGTTTTGGTGTATTGTGGTGATTTAGTGTTTTATTTTGCTATTATAACGTAGTAGTATACATTTAACGATAAAATCATAGGTTGACAACTTAAGGTATGTTGGCATTTGTCTTATTGTTACTTGTTCAGTTTTAATTTAAACATAGCTGCAGTTTTTCTTAAATTAGTCAAAAACGGCTTGTCCAAAATTATTCAAATTCGCCACGTGTATTCAGCATAATGCAGAAACATTTTTAAACTATTTAAAACTTTGTAAAATTATCAGGGGAGCCAATATTTGGACCGTTCAAAATTTGCATGGGATTTCCTATATTTCCAACGACGATACACCACTCGATATATTTCAACGAACTTGTATACTAATGTTTTTTTTTTAAAAAACAAAATATATTATTTTAATGTTTCAAGAACTTCCTCAGGAAGCATCTTAGGTAGGGTTTCTATAAAGGCTTTTGGAAATCCCGGACAAGCGAACTTAGAAATCTGGAGAAGTGAAGTAAAAAAATAAAAACCAACGCACATTTTTTAACAAAACAAAATATAATTAACTAGACAAAATTAGAAAAGGCCATTTTAACTGCATAACAAGCAAATAAAAATTTATATTTAGCTAAGAGGTATAATTCAGTTAAATTTCAAGATTTCCCTGGGGAGTACCCAGCAGTACCTGGGATGGGCTCCCCTGTATTTACGCCAATGAAATCTGCCTATACTTAAGAAAGTAGGCCCCGTTCAGATTAGACGATATGATCTAAATGGAATATTAAAATAACTAATTTTTTACTATAACATATCATATCCAAAATGAATATCCAATATACTTTAAAAGTGGCAAAATAAAAAATTAAGTAGAAAAAGCCATTATATTGGTTTAAAGGTCCCCATCAAAAATACCGAAGCCCTTTCCACAGCATTATGTTCAGGCAGTACACATATTATACGCATCAATCACTTTGGAAACGTACCCCCGTCTCAAATCGAGCAGCCCAGGTGTGCGAAAATCTCGACACATTCCAGTCGACCACACGAACCGGTCCTTGAGGGGTCCATGTCCCAAACACATCAAACAGTGGTCGGTACAGTGTAAAAATAAGGCAAGAAGCAAAATCTATATAGTATAACATTTTTCTATTTTGATTGGGTATTACACCGCTTAAACAAAAATCAAAACATTAAAAAATGTGCTTTTTATAAATTACACTAGGTTGTAATTCAAACGACAACCAGCTTCTCAGTGGCTTTTTGCTTTAAAAAATTGCTTAATCAGAAAACAAATATATTTATCACCAATTTTCACCAATTTGCAAATCGAAAATTTGTCAATATACATATTTAGCAGGATTGGCTTGATCAAATGATTTAAATCATGATTTAAATTGTGATTTAAATCGAGTGATTTTTTTAATTTTAATCATGTGACTTAAATCAAAATAAATAATTTTATTGAAACTTTATAAATAAAAAAATAACTGTAAAAGTTATAAAAATGTGTCTTAGAAAACTATAAAAAATATTTTTATAAAAGATATAACAGATAATAAATCGCAAAATAATTGTAAATGTTACAAAACTATATAAAAATTTCTATTCAATTTAAATGTTGGACCGATTTTTGAAGTAATTTCGTGTGAATTCATTAGACCGCTAAACCCAGGGATTTATTTTAAAATTTATGTATAAGTGACAAAAAGTCGCTATTCGAATACATATATCATTCGCAGTGTAGTGCAGAACTAGGTTCTTCTGATGTAGAGACTATATTATATCTTCATTATAAAAATATGTTGTTTTATATATTTTTTTTTGAAACGATTGTATGTTTCTAAATTCCTACCGACATTTTGATCAGCTGTAAGTTCCTAAGGCACTGGCAGAAGTACTGAATATCTAATAATATAAGTTAAAGTTTCATGGTTTTAGGTTCAGAGATTTTTATCCCTTTTGTTATAGTGAGAAGTTACCTAAAAGAGTAATTTTCCATCAAAGTTATTTATCATCCCCCTAAGATGTCCCCCTAAGATCACCCCCTAAGTTATTTATTAATTACTGATGTCACTCTGTGAACCCTTGCTCAAAATTTTCTGCCTAAATCAGACATCTAGAAAAATAGTAACGAATTTTCATACAACCTTGTTGTGTTTCTAAAACCAGCTGAAACAAAGTTTCACACAAACATTTTAACTCCTTATTTACAATTCTTTGTTTTTGTAACTCTTTATTTACAATTCTGAGTTTACAATTCTTCTCCATTGAGTTTTATTGTGAGCTGTTTCTTCAACTTTCTTTCCACTCATTCTGCATATTAATCCCCTTTAAGTTTCCGTGGAAAATGTCCTTGTACCTTTTGAGTTGTCCACCCGGCCTCCTCTTACCGTCTACAAGCTATAAAGCAGAGATTTTGGTATGCGGTTTTCTTGCATTCTGCATACGTGACCAGCCCATCTTAAGCGGGATTTTGTAACCATAACTTCAATACTCTCGCAGTTAGCTTTTTCAAGAACTGATACGTTTGAGACATGATGGTACCATTGGATTCTTAAGAGTTGCCTAAGGTGTCTCTGTTGCAACTTGTTTAATGCGTTCATGTGTCGGCGGTACGGCACCCAGGTTTCGCTCCCATATAAAATGGTGGGGATTATAATTGCTCGGTATACTGCAAGTTTCGTGTTTGTACTCAAGTTATGATCGTAGAAAACCCCGTTTTTTAATTTCCAGAATGCTCTTGAGGCGCTGCTAATCCTGTGCTGAATTTCAGAGTCGATAGTGGCCTTTTCCGAAATCAAACTGCCGAGGTAATTGAATGCCTATTCAATTGAATACATATTCGATAATACTTCTCCGATTTTTATCACATTGTTGTGATCTTCCGGGAGAGTGCACATGATTTTGGTTTTGTCGATGTTTAGCTTAAGGCCCTGTATGCCCAGGTATACATATGTGTTCAACATTTTTTGTAATTGTTGTAACGTTTTTGCTTTGTTTCTTGTAATTGTTGTAACGTTTATCCAAATATCGACTTTAGTTCAGAAATTATTTGGAAAAAATCGACATAAAAACGAAACTTCTACACCCTGTATTCCCGAAACTAAGAATTTTATATACATACATTTATAACGAAATTTTTTACTTATTTAAAAAAAAGTTTCCCGAATATAATTTGGAGCACCCTGTATAATGGTAATTTTAATATGATTTAATGAAAAGTTGAATTAGGCTTTCCGTATTTCTCTTTCAGTCTGTCTACCACTGTGTTTCATTGTATCTCCATGGCATAGCTGGTCCGCTGCATTGTACGGAGCCTATTGTTCATGTTCTGGGACCCTTCGAAGTTCACGTGCGTTTTAAGGGTAAATGCGAGTTTAAAATGTATAAAACAATTTTCGAAGGTAGGTATTTATTTAGAACCAGCTGAAATTGTTTTTAAATTATTTATTAGGTTCGATTTCCGTTTGCATTTTAAATCGTCAGAGTGATTTTATTTTGAAATTGGCTTGATGGGGGGAGGATTTTTTTTTATTACGAAAATAAGCGAAAAAAATATTCAAATTATTCACATATTATAAAAATAAAAAAGGTGCAGTCACCTCTCACACAATGCGGGGGCTCCATGAAGAACGACTGTTTGTATTGAAATTAAATTTTGTGGGCATTATCTATACTAATATATAAAATCCTTAAGTGACTGACATACTGATTAATCACGATCCTGCTCAAACCACTCAACGTAAGAAGCTCAATTTTGGCATACAGGTTGATTCTAGGGTGTAGAGATTCGATAAGAAGGGATTTTTCGAAATTCCAGTTCCCAGAGGGTGAAACTACCCCTCAAATATTACAATATTTTTTATTTCAAAAACGGTCAAGTTTCCGAAAAAAAAACGCTTAAACACGTAGGTATATTTTATTTTGTTTTTTTTACATATTTTAAGATTTTTTAGGGTATATGTATAGGGTATTCCTATAGGCGCACAAAAATTGTTCACTTGAAATTTTGCTGACGACCAGTTGGTGCTTGCGCAGGATGCGTTTGACCTTGAATATATTATGAGAATACTCTATGTACAATATGAGAAGTGGGGTCTACAAGTAAGTCTTAAAAAAACAGAATATCTAGTAGTCAATAGTGAAGCGGCCTTTGAAGTTCTGATTACCGATGATACTCAGGTCACACAGGTCAACAACTTCAAATATTTAGGATCAATCGTGACTAAACAGGGCATTGGAGAGGACGAAATTAAACTCCGCATTCAAGCTGGCAAGAGAGTAGTGGGATGCTTGAATTCATTGTGGTGGGATCAGCATCTCTCTCTTAGAACCAAAAAACGGCTGCGACAAATCTTGGTGGAATCTGTGGTGTGTTATGGTTGTGAAGTATGGGCTCTAACAGCCGAAATGAAACGGAGAGTTACAGCAGTCGAAATGAACTATCTCAGAAGGAGCGCAGGTGTATCGAAAATGGACCGAATTACCAACATAGAGATCAGACACCGAATGAATGCCCCAGAGACAATTATAGACAGGGCCGAAATCAGAGGTCTCAAGTGGTTTGGCCATCTATCAAGAATGCCGGAAGATGAATGGCCTCTTCAAAGCCTCAAGAGTCCTCCACAAAGAAGAAAGCGAGGTAGACCAAGAAGGTCGTGGAACAACACAATTAGGCAAGAGATGGCATCCAGAGAGCTGGAAGAACTGGATGCATTTGATAGAGAGGTTTGGCGAAGGCGAATGGGAAAGCAGCAGTAGCTGTATGCTTGATTAATGGACAACAAATGTCTAATCAAAAATCCCGTATATATATATATATATATATATATATATATATATATATATATATATATATATATATATATATATATATATATATATATATATATATTTTTAAAAATATATATAAGATGTTTCGATGTATACAGTATATATATATATATATATATAAATATAATATAATATATATATATATATAATATATATATATATATATATATATATATATATATATATATATATATATATATATATATATATACATTCAAAATAAAAATATAATCAAAAATCCCGTATATAAGATTTTTTAAAAATGTATACAGGGTGTTTCGAAAAATCTGGTCATTGATTAATCACGATCCTGCTTAAAGCGCTTGACATAAAAAGCCGATTTTTGGAAAACAGATTGATTTTAGGGTGTAGAGGTTCGACAAGAAGGGATTTTTCGAAACTCGAATTCTAAGGGGGTAAAACTATCCCTCAAATATTAAAATACTTTTTATTTAAAAACCGGTGAGTTTTTCAGAAAAAACTCTTAAACACGAATAATTTATTTTGTTGTTTTACATATTTTAAGATTTTTTATTAATTTATACAGGGTGTTTCATTAAATATGACCATTGAGTAATCACGATTCTGCTTAAACTGTGTGTTCCAAAATGTTGGGTAATTGATTAACCACGATTCTGCTTAAACTGCTTGACGTAAAAAGCTTATTTTTGGCAAACGGATTTTTCGAAAGTCAAATTCCAACGAAATGAAACTACCCCTCAAATATTACCAAGTTATATAATAATATCGCCATATTGTTTTTTCTCATGCTGACAAATGTGAGAAAATTTTATCCAGTTTGTATGTTAATGGAAATTCTTGCTTTGCTTTATCATCACCATTACAAATGATTAATTCGACGCGAACGAAATTGCTGGTACACGCTAATATATTTATAATTTAGAGCATTTTTTAAAAACTACACTCAGATGCAAAAAAAATAGATTTTTTTTCGTCAAATTTAAAGTATTATTTGTGGTATTATATATTTTGTTATATTTAACCCTATTTTCATGATTTTTTTTAACAAACTGTAGGTATGTGTAGCTGATATATAAATACAGTTTATACCAAATAAAATTTTAGTCACGTGATGGAGCTTGACCGGACAGCGTTGCCCACTTTTATATATTTTCTTTTAATCAAAATATTTTAGGAAACAAAAATAAATTAACTGTAAATATATAAACACTTATTATTTACATAAAAAACTCACTTTCTTAACAGCACTTAAGAGACATAAAGGGCCATTACTTACTACCGCTTTCCCGTTCAACATATTCTAATAAAGTTGCCATTTTTTTACAGCTATTAAGCTATATCTTGTACACTTCGCACTAAAAGAGGTTCTAAAAAGAACAATGTTCGACTGCAAGGTCTGCTAGTAAACATTTTTAAGCTTAAAGTATCACAACACTATTTATTTAAACCAAAAACTCGTAACACAAAACTAAAGTGTCAGAACGAATGACAATGTTTGGAAATAAATCAATTAGTAAATACAAAATTCTTGCATTGAGGTGCTATATTTTTCAATTTTAGAAGATCGAAAAAAGAAAAAAAGGAAAAAACTGTGTTATGTTTGTCGTTAAGGGGGAAAGCAACTCCCAACTCCCACAAAGTGTTTCTGGGCCTACCTTCATCAGGTGGGTTGTCCAGAGGTTGGTTGGTCAACGAAAATTGAAAAATATAGCAGCTCAAGACAAGAATTTTGTATTTAGTAATTTATACTAAAAGTTGCAAGAAAACTTTGTTTTAACTTTAGAAATAAATAAATATATGGGCAACTTGACATTTTTTACAGCAGAGATACCACCTGAATCTCCAACGCGAAATTTAAATTCCAGTTAGTCAGCCCGGCACCGAATATGTCCTTGGTTGGCAACAATGAATTTAAAAATCGCGCCCTTTAAAAATATCTTGGTTAAATTTTAAGTGCGAAATGAACTTGCCACCATCAATTTGCAATTATTTCAATAATAATTATCATCACATTTTGATGTTATTTTTTAATACGACGAGGTGGATCAGGTGACTATAGTCGTAATGTCATATTACGTTAAATGTGTGTTTTTATAATGGAACTGGATACATTGATATTCCGATTTTAGGAAGAAGATAAAGATGAATTTCATTAAAGAAGCACTTGACTAAAAGGTAAAGTTTTTGACATATTTAACATTTTCTAAAAATAAAGAAAAACAAATTTAGGCAACGGTCCAGCTGCGTTGAAACACCGATTCCCATTAGAACACCGAAGTTAAGCGACACATGGCGATACTGGTGGATGGACGGGTGACCGGTTCGAAACTCTGTATCGTGCTGTTGTCCAAAGGCAAAAGTGTAAAATTTATTGACACATACTGCTCATGCACGCCGGTTTGTGGCCGGATGAGATCGGATATCTCGTGAGTAAGAGTCGATTTAGACACTTGCCAGTCAGTAGGCCATTGACCATGATATGGCCGAGGACCGTGGTTCGGATTCCGCGTAAACAAAGTAGGTCCCGTCCAGATTAGCCCTGGCAGCAAAAAGGAGGCGAAAAGGACGTTAACTTGAAAACTAGAACTAGAAGAAAATGTTTTTTTCTAATTATGAATAAAAACTACCTAAATTGTAATTTACCATATATAGCTTGATATGCAGATAAAATGACCATTGTACGTTATATCAAGTTAAAAGTTAATCCAAAAAGTTATACAGGATGTGACGAGCTTAATATTGATAATTATAAACGTTTTGCAGCAAACATATATCTATTTGAGCTTTTCCGTCATAAGTAGTTTCAGTGGACTAACTATTGGAATTTAAAGAACATGTACTTTTTTGTGATATTTTTATTGTCTATTAAAACCATGTCTTGTTATTTTGTAGTACCGTTTTTTACTATACCTACTATAAAATAAATTTTAGTTAATTTATAGAATTATTGCTATTGGGCCTCGTCTATAATTTCATGTAGTCAATTAGTAAGCTCTGTATTTTTAATAAAAATAATAAATAAATATTCACATTGAATTTTCAGTCCACTTAAAATATTTTTAAATTTATACATGGCAATATTTTTTTATTTGGTTTCCATGAAAAATATTTTATTTTACTTTTAATTAAAATATTAGGTTTGCATATAAAATATTGCGTATCGTATCCAGGCTCGAATTTAATTCAAAATAATATAGTATATAATATAATATTTGATTAAAAAAGGTATTTTTTATTGAAGAATATCTCCGCATTTGAATTTTTTATATGAAATAGGCTGCGAGAAATCCATTCGGAAAAAAATAATTTTATATTCAGTATTTTGAGAAATTTGTAATGTAAGCCCTCCACTTTAAAATTTCATATCGATTTAATATAAAAATATATATAGGGTTAATCGTAAATAAGTGCCAATATTTTTAGGGGTAGTATATTTCAACCCCAAAAACACGATTATGAGTTTTTTTCGCAAAAAAAATGAAAATTTGGAATTTTTTCAAAAATGTTTTAGTTTTTAGTTAAAAAATATAATTTCTTGATAATATGACAACATAGGTAGTAGATTAAATTTACAAGAAAGCAAATCCAGAAAAGCTCCAATGGTTCTAAAAATTTTAACAAAAAGTCATTTTTTTTGGAAATTTTCAAAGTAATATCTCGGTTATTTGAGATTTATCTGAAAAACGAGAAAATAAGTTTCTTTTATCGAAATCTACCAGCCCTAAAAACATTTTACATATTTAAGACTCACCCTGTATAGGAAGGTATATTTTTAAAATGCGCATAATATGTAAATGTCCATATTTTGAACGGAAGTAATTATTTTTTCTGGCCTTCCTGTTTGATATCCAATCAGTTGATTTAGATAGATCGAATATGTCGACTTTTCTTAACCTATAAACCAAGTTTCAGGTTTCAATATGCCGACTTTATGATTTAACCAATGCTTATTCCAGATCATATTTTTGTAAATTTTACATTATATTTAATTTTTATCTCAAAAACTATCAGAGATATAGGTTAGTATAATATAAGAAATATGAGATATTAAAGTAGTTTTCAAAAATGTAATAATATACCGTATGTTGCATTTAAAATAACAAAGATGTCATAGGCGTGACCAGGCTTTTTAATAAGGGGGGGGCCAAAGTTAAAGGCTACGAACCGGGGAGAAAAATAGCGCCGCAGCGCAGGCGATTTTTTTTTATACGAGCGTGCGCAAAGTATCATTCGCACGCAGAATGCTGATTAAGGGGGGCCATGGCCCTCACGCCTCTCCCGTGGGCACGCCTATGAAAGATGTTACCGCTTTTAGTGTGAAGCGGCAACACTGTAATTCTGAAAATGATTTAGACAGATGGAGCAGGTGCCTTTACGCAAAAATACAAATTTTCAAAAAATCCTATCACCGGTTCTCCATAAACGTCTAACGTGCCATGGCCGTGAATCACCCTGTGTAGTTTCAAACTCGGTTTCAAACGAAAGTAAATAAGATTTCTGATCTGGTTAATTTTGGGGTGTCTAAAAAGTTTGTATCATCTAGTAATTTAGTTGTTTATATTTTATACCGACATTAGGGTATCTATAAATAAATTTATAAATCTTTCTCGTATATTCGAACAAGTAAATTATAAAAGGCTACCTTTCTCGCTGGTAATCCAATCAATTACCCATTTAAGCTAATAGAGTCAAATCAGATTTATTACATACAATTGGATAATTGGCTGATTTAAACCCCAATCTACCATCATTTGGTTTATCGTTTGGGTGATGTGTTTTTTTCTCAGAAATTCCGAGGATGGTTTGTTACTCAGGGTTACAGCTACATATTTTTACTTGCAAAGGTAAAAGTAAAAGAATGTAATAATTTTTTCAAAATTCGCATATACTTAATTCTTTATTTTTTATCTCGTTTTGATTAGTTTCACATATCTCTTCACGTCAAA